GCTGGCGGCTACGCTTCCGGGAGCCACCTGGCCTCCCACCGAAGCCCTCATGGACGCCCGATTCGTCGTGTACTTAATGTGGAGTCCCTGGCGGCGCCTGTTCTACATCGGGAAGACCATCTACTACAAGGAACGCCTTCGCAAACACCTCTATTCCTGCGCCCGTCAAACGACTCCCAGCAACCCTACATGGCAAACCTCCGGCACTGCTCCGGCGGCGACGCCCCATCAGCAGCCGCGCCATGGCTCTACTTCCCCATTGCCCGTTTTTCCTCCGACGCCGCCGCTTCGTCCTTGGAGCGGCATCTCATTGACGTTGAGCATCCGCGCCTCAACGAGCCCCACGTGCACCGCCTCCTGGCCCTGTGCGGCCCCGCGTCGGCACCCGCCCAATGGAGTGCCCGGGGAACCCGCATCTCTGTTGCCCCCCCAACAGCGCCCGCCCGCTTTACGCAGCGCCGTCGCCACGGGCAGGACGTGCGACCCCGTGCGGCCGAAGCCCGCCTCGCACTGTCCGACTCGGGTCAGTGCCTTTCGTCTTCCATCACAAGGTGGGCGCAGCTCGCATGCAACGCGCCCCTGGCTGCCGAGGCCGACCAGGGGCATTATGAGCTCTATCGCCTCACGTCCGCAGAGCTGTTCGCAGTGTGGCGCCGGATCCATCGCAGCCAGGGCGGTGCCACCTAGACCATCGGCCTGCGCGCGCTGGGCCGCATCCGGCGCTTCCGGCGCTGGCCCAAGCCGCGTCTCTGCGTGCAAGGTGCCGCGCCACGGCTTCCACGTGCGAGTGCGCGGACGCTTTTCCGGGACCTCATACACCGCATCATCGGCTACGCCAGGGAGCACGGCCAGGTGGCGATGATTCCAGCGATCCGCGACTTCCGGATTATGCTCGCGCCATCCAGCTGCCTCGCGTTGCGCTCTGCACTGCGCAACGCCCCGCGGTACTACCGGCAGCTCGGCACTAAGGACGCATGGCCGTGCGCGTGTCGCCTGCGCCCAGATTTGCCCCGGTACCCGTCGCCAGATGGTGCGTCGCACATCTTTGCGCCTCAGGACACTTGGGCATGGCCGGCGCACCTTCAACAGCTTCGCTTCCTCCCGGCGCACACGAGTGCCGCATCTTCGCGGGCTATGTTCTCCACATCGTGCAACCGAGTCCTTCGACGGGCCTGTCGAGCTCTGGGCCTAAATTGTTCGGGCGCCACCCTCGCGCGCTTCGCGGAGGAGGCGCTCGACGCCGTCGACTTCGGCGGCACCCCGCAGCAGGTGGACTTCCAGCCAATCGACCACGGCGCCATCGCCATTGGCCGCCGGCTCACCCGTGGGCTCGTGGTGGAGGAGTTCCAGAAATCGAGGCATGTCCTCGTCGCCGAGTGCCCGCGCCGCGTCCAGCTCCTGCGCCACGGGCTCTTCGGCGCAGACGGGCCCGACCCCAGTTTCGAATGCTTTCCAAGTCTGTCGGCCAGCTGGGTGCTACAGCAGGCCTCCGTTGTGGTGGGCGTCCGGCCCCACCTACAGCCTGCCGTGCTCTCGCGCGCGAGCTCTTGGGGGATGGCCGCAGCTTCGGCACCTAATAAACACCGTGGGAAGCCTGACGGCCGACGCCCCCTAGTGGATCGCTCCATGTGGCCAACCCAGCCTCTGGAGGCTCCCGCGACACGCGCCCTGGACTGGGTGAGGTCGGCATGCATTCCCGATCATCTCCACATCGATTGCCAGCGTACTGATCTCATCCCCCCGTTCATCGAGCAGTTCAATATGCCCCCGCCCCGCGGGGCCGCGAGAAAATGCGGGAGCGACATCGCGAATTGCTTCTCCAACATTCCCCACCCGCTGGTGCGCAGAGCGCGGCGCTACTACAGGTCCGCGCTAACCGCGCTGGACATCGTGCTCGTATCGGCCCCCCGCCGGCGCGGCCAGGGTCGCTGTCTACCACGCGCGGCGCCGCCATCTTCGCGACAGTACCTGGAGTTCAACCTCGCAGACATGGAGGCGCCCATCGAGCACAGTCTCAAACACATGTGGCTCGCCGTCGGATCCCTGATCGGCCGCGCCATCGACGGCCTTGCCATGGGGGGCTCCCTGGCCGGAGCGCTCACGCGCATGGTCCTGGCGCACGCGGGCGTCGCCTTCCACGCGTCGCTCTTCTCGTCTGTTCCGCCCCCGCCGGCCTCGCGAGGCAGGGTTCGCTACGTCGACGTCCTCGGCGTCCAGATCCTCGCCCTGGAGTCGAGGTACATGGACGACTACATCTGCATCTGGAAGGGCCCGCCGGGACTGCAAGAGGCGCTTGCCAGCCAGATTGCCTCCGTCGTCGCTTCCTGGCCAGGGCGGCGGCGCCCGCTGCCAAGCGAGCCCAACCACGGGGGCGTCATCACGGGCATGCGCCTCGCCCTACTTGACAACGGCACCGTCGCCACGCGCCCGGCTCCAGTGGACCCGCCGGGCTATGCGGGACACTTCGATTACCCACCGTTCCTGCACTACTGCGGCTTCGTCCCGGTCCACATCAAACGCGCAATCGCCCCGGGGGCGGTAGCCAGGGTGGACCGCTTCACCAACCCAAGCCAGAGGCGCTCCTCGAGCTCGCTCGCGCTCTCCTGGCCTCTGGATTCCCTGCAGTTTTGATGAGCCGCTGGATGTTGAGCCGCCGGGGCGCCAGTACACCAGGTTGGTTGCAGCGCGCGCGCTTCCAGATAGCGTCGCTCGCAGCAGGAACCTAACGATTATGAACAGCAGTTTCCGAAACGCCCCCCGTCCCCGCCCCCTTCCCCTGGCCCTCCCCCCCTCCTCCCTCCCCTTCGCCCCTCCTTTCCCCCTCCCTCTTCCCCCTCCCCGCCCCCCCCTCCTTCCCCCTTCCCCCTCCAAGCGGATCCGCGTCATTACTCCCCCCCCTCAGGCTTCCCTGCCAGGATCTTTGGAGGCCTCCACTGCCGCTGGGGTCGCCCCGTCAGCTGCACGCGGGGGGCGGGGACTTTCTGCGCCCCTGACTGGGGGGCGTGGTCGTGTGCGCGTGTGCGCGTGTGTTGTGTGTGTCTCTGCGTGGTGTGCGTCGTGGGTTATGGGTGCATGCCCCTGCGGGTATTCCACCCCATGGGATGAAGCCAGTAAGTGCTTTCAGATGTACCGATCATCCATTGTTTTGGGTGCGCCGGCCTATCCGCTGTCGAACCTCCGCGCTTTTGGGTGCACCGGTCCATCCGTGCCGGCGGAGACAAACATCGCACCTACGGGCATACAGGTTGTGGGCACCTCCGGCCTGTGACGCTTGGAGGCCTCTGGGGGGCCCCCTTTGGTCACCAGGCTTCGGCCGTGTCAACGTCACCACGTTTCGCTTTCACGCTCCAGGTGGCGCATCCCTGCCGCGGCACGCTCCCGGGGTGTCATGAAGCAGCTTCGCTGCCAGCTACTTTGCGATGCGAAATCTGTGTATTTCGTATCTTCCGGGTCCGGGTGCCGACCCCCCCGAGGCGTGCACATCTGTCCTCGTCTCTGCCTCTGTCTCTTCTCTCCCTCTTCTTTTCCCTCTCTCTCTTCTCTGTCCTCGTCCCTGCCTCTGTCTCTTCTCTCCCTCTTCTTTCCCTCTCTCTCTTTGCCTCCGCTTTTTTGTACGGGGCTCCTCTGGGACATAGTGACAAACGTTGTTTTTAAGTCCCCTTTTCAGGTATCCCCCCAGGGCGTAGCTGCCGGACATCCGCTTCGACTTCCTGCCCTCTTCCCCCACCCCCACCCCGGCGAGGGCCATCATAGGCCTCACCAGTGAGAACCATCATAGGCCTCGCGCCCCCTGCGGCTGCCATCATAGGGGCCGCTGGGGTCACCCTCTCCCACCGGTACACCGGTGCACCAACACTTCACGGCGTCAATAGCCAATGGAAGGGGCCGGGGACCTCCCTGCAGCCCCTCGGCCAACGAAGACGGCTGCAGGGAGGGGTCCAAACGTGCCTCCACCTTCCTGCACCAGTCAACCAATACACCAGAAAACCAACTCCTCACATTCCTTCCCCAGCGCAGGCGTAGGACAGGGCATGTCCCAGGATGCTGAAGGCGACTGCACTGGCCGAGAGGGCAGCCGAGCTGCTGCCTGTAGAGCGGCCACTCTCTGAGCGTGGCCGCATCCAGGCTGCAAGGTCCTCGCCGTCCTTGGCCGTCTGCTGCGGGCAGCGGTCGCGCCAGACGGTGCGGTAGACCCCTGCCTCCAGGTTGCCGTCGTCGTCGCACTGCGCAAAGGCCCAGCCTTCACAGCGGAAGGCGCCGAACTGCGGCTCGAGCACCGAGCCATCGAGGTACAGCTTGCCGTTGAGCTTACCAGCTGGCCTGCCGACGCATTACATCCACATGGCGTCGTTGCGGCGGCCTTTCTGTGGCCCTGGTGTGGGCAACCAGCAGCGGCCGAAGTTGTCGCCTGCGCGCCCGCCTAGGGCCCGCGCTCGTTCTGCACCATGCTTCGGCCGTGCCGACACACAGTCGCGCCGCTGGGCCTCGAGCGCGGGGCAGCCGAACAGGCGGTGCCACAAGGTGTCTCCCTCTGCCCTGCAGCAGCCGCAGCGCGCATGTCCTTATTCACATGCCTCGAGGAGCATGGCCCGCGTCCAGTGCGTGTTGGTGATGCAGGCCCCGAGCACGATCTGTTCCCTCACTCTGGGCCCGCCGTCTCGCCCGAGCTGGCGTCCGATGGCGTCCCAGCGCAGTGGCAGCTGCAGGAGGGCGTCGCGGCTGAGCTTCCTCGTCACGCGACAGGCGGATGCACGCTGAGCGCCACGGCCAGCCTCCAAGCCCAGCTCCCGAGACCAGAGGTGCACGAAATCGAGCTCATCGCCAGAGCCCGTGGCCATGCACCGCTCGGACTTGAAGTGCCAGCCGATCCGCGCACGGGACAGCACCACCGCGTCGAAGGGGGGGCGCAGTGCTTCCATGGCGTGTTAGCTCTTGCGCGCCTGGTCGCCGCCGCCTCCAGCCCCTGGGCGGCAGTTCGCCTGTCTGCAGCAGCTCCGCCATCATCTGGACTGCGCGTCCAACCGCGAGGACTGCATACTCCAGGTTGCGCCTCCTCCTGAGCTCGGCACAGCGCAAGCACAGCCCTCGCTCCGCGCCCATGTGGAGCGCTCCTGCACTGCGGCAGGCCGCAAGCTTCCATCTGCGCGGCTCACCGTCCGCGTTGCCCGTGACCGAGCGACCGCACACCATGCTGGCCGTGGGCCCAGCCTTGCAGATCGGGTCCTGCCTGCGAGCTCGGCGAAGCGCTCCTGCAGCTCGAACTCGTCCCTCATGCACTCCTCTCCTCACATTGGCGGCGTCCGTGCCGATGTTCCTGGCCTGCAAGAACTGACGGAAGGGCCAGGCTTGCGACTTCCTGGACACCCCGCGCTGGCGCCCAAGGCTGGGGCGCGACGCGAGGAGGGTCGGCTGGGCAGCACTGAGGGGAGGGTGCTGGACACGGAGGCGACGCGTCACTTTCAGCCCAGCGCGGCCGAGCCGTGCAGCCGCCAGCTGCTCCGTGCCCACGGCCTGCATCGCGATGTCGCCGACGACGATGCGGGCGCCCACCAGCGGCCTGCCGCCCGCTGAGGCGGTGCGGAGGGCTGCCAGCCCAGGCAGCCTGGCCACAAAGGTGGCGCACGCACTCCCCGCCAGACCTGTCCCGTTGGTGCAGAACGACTCGGTGGCCAGGCCCACAACGGAAACGGACCGCGGTGTCTGGTAGGATTCCAGCAGCGTCACATCGCCCCCAACAGCGTCGACACCAGGAGAACGTTCAGGACGCACAAGTACCTGCACCAGGGCGTCGGGCCTCACGTCCTGCAGCAGCAGCCACACAGGCTTGCGCGGGCACAGCCCAAGGCCATCCAGAGCCGAGGCCTCCCTGACGCCATGGGCCAGGCAAGGGAGCCTGCGAGCCCGTCGTACACGTGCTCTGCCCCTTGGGCCTCACATGTGCACTCGGCAGGCCCCAGGTACGTGCCGCGCTGCACGCGAGGCCAGCCCAGCTGGTGCAGCGTGCCAGGCTCAATGTTGAAGCCGCCCTGCGCGAGCCAGGGCCTGCCCTCGGACAGCACCAGGTCGCCGAAGGCCGCGAAGAAGTCGAGGTTGATGCCCTTGGGCCCCAGGGCGCCCTGTAGAAACAGCGAGCACGCCAGGGCCAGCAGCCCAGATGCCGCGGTGACCGCGACCCCAACTAAGCGATGCCTCAAGCCACTCGGCGTCGCCCACACACTCTCCGCAGCCTGCAGGTCGCTGCGCGCCAGGGTCGCCACGCCCCCTGAGTTCGCCAGCGGGCCCTCCTTGTCCGTGGGCGCCGGCGCATGGAGGAACGCCGAAAAGCCCAAGCGCAGCACTGCTCCTCTGGCCTCTTCCAGGCGGTGCGGAGTCAGGCGGGCCTCCTCCAGCCCGCAGCGGACATCCTGAGCTGCCGTCGCGGCTTGGCCTGGCGCTGGTGGGGCCTGCGCACTCCCGAGGGCGAGGGCCCGCTTGCCGCCGAGGCGGGCCGCTTCGGCGCCGCCGCCCTCCTGCTGCCTAGGCCTGGCGCCACAGGCGTGGCTACAAGCACGACTGCCGGGGCCTCTCTCCTCCGCCGCGACTCTCAGCGGCGCGGCCAGCAGGGCGAGCAGCAAGAGGGGTCAGGTCCTCAGCCTCGGCCGCCAGCTCCCGCTTACACGCCTGGGCGACCTTCGGCCACTCGCCGTCGACGTCGCCTCGACGTTCGGCCTGGCCGCGCTCCGCGGCGCACTGCGGCTACCAAGGCCTGCAGCCTCCCGCGTGGTCGCCGCTCTCGATGTCGATCTCATCCATGGGGCATGACTCCGCCCAGGGCACCCTCCTCGGGGCCGCAGGGGCGTCGGCGAGCTGCGCACGCACCGCCTCCACCTGGAAGCGAATGGCCGCCCATGCCACTTCGAAGTTGCTGGAGCCCCACGCCTCGGGCAGCTTGTCCAGCTGCATGAGGGGCCCTGGGACCTGGCTGGCTCCTGCCCACTCGGCTGCACGCTGACGCAGCTGCGCAGCGGCCTCCACTCGGGCTTCCTCCTCGAGGGCATGGAGCGCACGGCTTGCTTCCTCCACCTCCGCACCGAGCTGCGCTAGCTCCTCCTGGGCCTTCTGCAGCTGGGCCTCGGCGATGCCACGTGCTGCTTGCTTCTGCTCCAGGCCCTGGCACGCCGCTCGGAGGCGCTTCTCTGCCTTGCTAATGGCGTTCGCCTCCTTGTGGAGCACCGCCGACAGAGGCATGGGGGGCGCCTTCTGCACTGCTGCCGCGCGCTGGGCCTCAGCCAGCTCTGCGCGCTTGGCCTCCAGCTGGCTGGCAACGACGTCGGTGAAGCAGCAATCGACCCCGTCGGGCGGCCCTGCCTGCAGCGCCTCCAGCTGCTCGACCGCCACTTGCAGCCTCTCGATCGCCGTGGCGTCGCTGCCGCTGGGCGTCCCGCTGGCCCCCGACGCCGAGGTCTGCGACTTGGTGGTTGCCGCACTCGTAGCCGCGCTGCGGGCCTGCCGTTGGGCACGGCGCCCGCGCGGCTGGTCCACCCAGCCGTCCTTGTCAGCCTGGGGCTTGGCCTTGGCAGCTGCTTCCAGGGCCCGTGGCGGAGCTGCGCACCCACGGCCAAGGCGCGTGGTGCGCCAGTCCCAGTTCCACCCTCCGCAGCTGCACATCCAGTACTTCCTGCTGCGCCTGCCGCCGCTGCCGCCACCCCGCGAGGAGCGCGCCATGGCCCAGGCCGCGCTGGCTGGCGGGTCGCTCCTCCGCGCCGCGAAGGCAGAGAGCGCAACAAGGAAGTGCACTGGCCCAAAGCGAGGAGACCCTCGGCGCTCGGAACGCCGCGGACGACTTTGCGGTCGTCGGGTGCGCTCCATGGCTTGAGCCAAAATGGCTGCGGATGCTTCCAGTGGGTTTATGCCGTGCTCCTTTGTGTTATGCCGTGCTCTCGCGCGCTCTGCCGTGCTTCTGCGTGTTGTTGGCTGCCGTGATCCTGCCCATTTCCGGAAGAGTATCAGGCGAATGGTCAGTTTTAACACGCATGGTCATATATCAACCTTTTCAACCTCTCATTGTTCGAAGATGTTAGCCGATAGCCCCATTGTCCTGCTGTGGCGATAGTGCGAGGTTCATTTTGGTGGATGTCTCAGGCGAAAACGCTTGTTTTGTCAAAGACGATGTTGTGAAGAACTCATGTAGGTGAGGATGTCTCTAGCAGAATGTACGTTTGGGGAATCCCGAGGGCGCTCTTGGGGGCCATATTGAGCTTCGTTCGGGGCTGCCTCGATGCCATAAAACATGCCAATGCAATGCCACACGCGCACATCTCTGCAAGCGCAGCCGCCAACTCGGCCACGCGCTGCCGTCACGGCAACGACTTGAAGCAACAAGACCTGCGGACGAATGTCCCTGACTCAGGCCGAGTTGCGAAAAACGAGCCGGCAGCGGTGAGGGACGCTGTCGGCGAACGAACGCGGCCGAAAAACATGCCGCCGTCGCGGGGCAGAGGGAGGAGAGGAGGAGGAGGAGGAGGACGACGCCGACGAGGAGAGGAGGAGGAAAGGAGGGGAGGAGGGGAGGAGGAGGAGAGGAGGTGGCCCCGGAAAAGGGGTAGGAGGAGGAGGAGGAGGAGGAGGAAAGGAGGAGGAGGAGGAGGAGGATGAGGAGGAGGAGGAGGAGGAAGGCATAGCGCTCGACGAATTAATGCCGCGGCAGACGCAATTCGCACCAGCGCGCGGGCGGGCAAGGCCAGCCGTCGCCAGGGGGAGCCAGGAGGGGGAAGGAGGAGAAGACGGAGAATGACGGGCGGGCGGGGGCGGGGGAGGGGCGGTAGTCGTTGCGTCGTCAAGCGGGGGCTGCCGCTGCTGCCGCCGCCGCCGGTGGGGCCGCCACAGCAGGTGCCGCCGGGGCCGCGGCGCCATCCCCTGGGACAGCGCCAGGGTGCCTGCGCCTCTCGGCCACGGCCGCGTCCGCGGGCTCGTCGACCGCGTCCTCGTCGACGGCCAGCGGCGTGCACGCGCGCGCCATGCGGGCTGCGCGGCGCCAGATGCTGACGGCGATCCGAGTCTGCACGTGGCGCAATTCCACATGCGCCTCCGTGCCCCGCCGCCTCGCGTGCGCCCGGGCAATCGACTGCAGCACCCTCGGGAACTCGTCGTGGAAGCGGCCGAAGGCGCTCACAGCCAAGACCCGATACTCGATTCCGCTGTCCTCAAGCTCGCTCCGGAAGCCATCGGCTCGGCGCTGCTTCCGGCACACCATCGTCTCCACGCAGTCGTCGCTTGCTCCTGCCGCCATAGGCGCTATGATTCCCACATCCAATGCCGCCAAGCGCCCGGACGGATCCGGGACGCCAGTCAGAACGTCCGCAGGGCGGAGCATTGGGCGTGAGCTCACGAGGCCTATCGGCTCGAGCTCTGTACTGCTATCGACAGCGCTGGCGAATGCATACACGTCGTCACGGACTGCATTATGTCCGGCATTGCAGGGGCCTCTGGCGCAAAGGAGCCCGTGGCTGCCAGACGGGCCAATGATGCACTCACCGCAGTTGGCGCACACTACCTCCTCATCGGGGCCCCCCGCGCCGAGGCGGATGCGGACAGCGAGGGCGAACTCTTCGCTGGTCATAATCCGTCCCTTGTGCGGGGATATGGCCCACAGCCAATCATGGCATTGGTTCGGGTGGCAGAGTTCCTGGAGGCGGTGCACAGCGTCGGCGTCCCCGCTCGCTCGCGCTCGGGAGAGTCCAGTGGACAATGTGCGGTCCGCCACTCTGGTGAGGTCGCGCTGGAGGCGCAGCGCGCCGCGGCCCCGAGGGGCGGCCGGGTGCTCGGGGTCCTCCGCGCCCGCCTCGGCCACGGCCGCCGCGCCGGGCCTGTGGCTGGCGGCGCGCCCGCCAGCTCCGGGCTCCTCCTCCTCCTCCTCCTCCTCCTCCTCCTCCTCCTCCTCCTCCTCCTCGCCGGCGCGCCCACTCCGCCAGCGGCGCTCTGCCAGCGCGGCTGCCTCTTCGAGGTGGGCGCGCACGGCGTCGTGGACGCCGGCAGGGAGGGCGCCCCGCCACCTCTGCGCCGCCGCGTGCGCGCGCCTGTCGTACTCCCGCATGCACCTGGCGGCAGACCCCAACACCTCCTCCTCCACGTGAACACGCATGGCTGCGACGAGCGGCCGCGAGGCGACCCGGCTGGCAATGAACGCGGGCAGCGCGCTCTCGGGCGCCTCCCGGAACCCGAGTCCACCAGCGCCCACAGAGAGAGTGGCCTGAATCCATCCCTCATCCAAGAGCTTGCCGTGGAGGGCGTCCTTCGTACCGCGCCGAAGTGAAGCGTCGAATGCAGCCAAGGACTCGTCGTTAACCAAGTCCCCGTTGCACCGGAGAATGTAGCCGACCTTGGAGACGTCGAGGCAGCGGCGGTGGAGCACGAGCTCGCACTGGGACTGCTCCAGGCCCCCGATCGCGACCCTCTGGGCGACGACCTTATTGCACGTGCTCCGGAAATGATGGTTGACCTCTTCGCTGCTTCCGACCATGGCCCCCAGGACTTTGACGCCTTTCTGGTTGTCGGGGACCTTGCACGTTTGGGCGATGTAGCCGTGCTCCCAACCACGCAGCTGGTCCTGGCGGTCTGGGTGACACAGGAGTCGCGCGACGCTTTTGCAGTTGGGCCCAGTGTCCCTGCTGCATCCGATGCTAGCGGTCGCTTGATCGAGGCGCCGCAGCCACCTTTCCGCGACCTCGACGCGGACAAGAGCCTGCCCGTCGTCGATGAACGATTTGTCCACGGCGCTGGCGCCGATGCGACCACCCGCCTGCCCCTGTAGCTCGTCGCGGGCCGCGCCCACGGCGTCGCCGAGCGTGAGAGCAGAGGCGGCGGGCCCGAAGACGTCTCCCTGGCCAGACCCTCTGTCGGTGCGTGCCACGCCGCCCTAGGGGAGGTCCATGAGCTCGTCGTCTGCGTGAACCCACTGCGTCCACCGGAGGGCGTCGGGGAAGTGGCGACGAAGCGCCTCCCGAATGCACTCCCGCAGGATGGTGCCGAACATGTTCGCCAAGTCCAGGTCGAACGCCACCACTGGGGGGATGTGCCCAGCCACGGCCTCCGCCTCCACCAGTGCTCGCCAGTGCACGAGAGCTTCGCAGCCGCCGGGCACTTCGACGCCCCATTGTCGAGAGGCCGCGAAAGCAGCCCGAAGTTTCGGAGCCGCCTTCTTCTGCACCTTCTTGGCCATTGTCGCGCGCAGGAACTCGCCAACTCGAACCGGCTTGGGCTTGGCGGATCCTTTCTTCTTCAGGAAGACCGAGCGATTGCGCATAAGCCACCGCGCCTCTGTCCCAAGCTTGCCGTCACGCGCGGCCTCTTGGAATCTCAGCATGGCGCGGGCCAGCCTGTTGGCAAGCGGGCGTTGCGTTGTGCCCATGCATTCCTTGGCATGCTCTGCCCTGGTCCCGGTCGGCCCCAGCGCCGTGAGACAAGCAAACCTGGCGCCTTTCAAAGGGTGGTCATCCCGCAGCGGGTCCTGGGATGCAGCGTCGTTCGGATCGCTGGACGACACGGGGCCCCCTGGCCCTGGCTGCGCTGCAGCGCCGCCGGCGGGTGCAATCGCCGGCTGGGGCACCCAGCGAGCGTCTGCTGGCCGGGGGGCTTGCGGCGCAAGCTCGGCCGCCCATCTGACCTCGTCCTCTGGCGTAAGTTTGGCGGTCTCCCCAGTGAGCGTGAGGACAGCTCTTCGGTATGCCCCCTCGGCCGCGGGCCTCGGCCCCAGGTCCACACCGGCTCGCAGGCCGTCGTCGAAGGATGGCCTGGGCCTCAGCGCGGCAGAGCAGTTCCTCGTAACATCCGCGTTCCCAGAGGGTGGCACGGGCGGCCAGCTCTGTGGGCACGTGCGCACCGGCTGGGGGGTCAAGCAGCAGTACTGCGTGACCGGGCCTCTTCCAAAGCCGTCCAGCCCGGCAGCCCCGCGGCAGCGCCTTCGAGAGTGGCTGCCCAGATGCGGGCGTGGCGGGCGCGCAAGGCAACTGGGATGTGTGTCTGCGTGGTGCCCCTGAGGGCCCTGAAACGGTCAGCGAAGTCAACTCCCAGCACCACGTCCTCAGGATCTCTCCGAGGGTTGCCTTGCGAGGCTGGCTCTTGGGATGGCGGCTGCGCTGGGGCGAGGGTCCCACCTCGAGGGCCTGGAACGATATCGCCAACCTGCAGCGGTCGCAACGGAGTCGAATGCCTGCATCTGTTGCACGTCGTCATGCCGATTCGCCGTATGCCTCCGCATGCAGGATCCGAGCACACCGCTCTGTCAAGAGCACGGAGCACAGCCACCGCCCCGTCGTCGAGCGCCTCGCCCGCGTGCGTCGTGGTCAAAGGGCGCATGAGCCCTGGGCAAGCCTCGGAGGATCGCTCGTGGCACAGCGGGCACGTGATCACCCCGTTCAGGGAATGCCGCCCGCCACCGGAGGTGGCCCCGCTGGCGGCGGGGCTTCTGAGATGCCAGCGCGCAGCGCCCGGGCAGCAGCGGAAGCGTCCGACGTCGCTGAGAACCATCCTCCCCAACATCAGCTCTTCCTCCACTCGTGGCCTCCCGAGCTGCTTGCCGATCCGCTTCAGCCTGTGGATCACCAGCCCCACGGTGACACCTGCACCATGTCCTCGCTGCGCGGCAAGTCCCGCAGACGTCTGCCTCCATGTTGCCAGCCCCCGGAGAGGCAGGGGGAGGGGCCTGGGCAGCATGGGCTGGTCTGCCCTGAGACTCCGCGCTGCTGCTCCCAAGCTGCGGCGGTCCAGTTTCAGCGATAAGCCCCGCTGCCGCGTCCCCGGCTATCGCGGCTGGGGCCGGCGCAGGCGGCGGCGGGGGCGAAGGCACGACGCGCTGCGCCTCGTTCGGCGGCATCCCGGCGTCTTCATATATATATATGTATTATATATACATATATATATATATATATATATATGTATCATATATATATATCTTATATTAAATTATATATCCTGCTGGGAGACGCGAGGTCTGCTGAAAAACGTGGCGCCGCGGGGTCGGTCAGACTGCGGCGGAGATCTCCAGGGCGTGCTCTGGCAGAGCTGGGAGCGACAGGCTCCTGATCCGACCTGCGGGGATTTCGGCTCCGCTCCCGGTCTGGGAAAGACGGGGCCCAGGCGGCCGCGAGACCGAAGGCAAGGCGACCAGCAAGGGGGCATGGGGCGAGCACGCCAGCCGCGACCGCGCTCAGGGCGCGGCATGCGGAGAGGCGGGTGCGAACGTCCAGCCGAACGAGCGTTATCAGGAGGACCGCAAGGGTCGTGTGAGCTGCGCCGCCACCGCTCAGCAGGCGATGCATCGCTGCGACGGGAAGCGGCCGCAGGAAGACGAGCCCCCGAGATCGCAGGACCTCGCGCGAGCACAGCCAGGCGATCCTGATAGCGCAGGCGGCGAGGCGAACGATCACGTCGAACATATGGCCGAAGATGTTCGCCAGCTGGCGCAGCGTGTTCAGCAACAGTCCCGGAGCTCCCGCTGGGCCGGTCACGGAGAAACCTCCGCTGGTCGTGCAACCCGTCGGGGAGGCTGCACACGATCGGACGTGCCGGAGGTAGAACGATTCCGCCGCGGTGGTCCAGCATGGCTCAGCAAGTCGAGGAAGGTGCTCGGCGACCGCGAGCCGGAAGAGCAGCTGCAAGCGCCGCGCAGCGCGGGCGCCTGGGCCTGCGGCGCCGCAGCGAGCGCGAGCCGTAGAGGGAGCACAGGTCAGCCCCCCGTAGCCGTCGAGGCCGCACAGGTCGGCAACGATGACGTCGTCCAGGTGTCCTGCAGGGAACCTCCAGGGTGTGAACACATTTGCAGCTTGGCGCTGCCCCTCGTCGCCACGGCTGGGCGCAGCGCAGAAGACTGATCTGTCTTGACCCCGGGGGGGGCCCCTGTGAGCCGTGGCGGGGGGCGGCTGGAGTCAGATCCCTGGTGGCCGAAGGACAGAAGCAGGGGCTGGAGGGGCTCTCCTTGGAGGACCCCCAGAGGAGGGGGGCGGTGGAGGAGCAAACGGGAGGCGGGAAGCTGGGCGGAGTCGCATCTCGGCGAGAATCGTGAGAGTCTCCAACCCTTTGGACAGAGCCCATACTCCACGCAGGCGGCCGAGGTGGGCGCGGCGGGATCCCCAGCGAGGCGTCAGCACGACGCTGGCGCGGGGCCCGCAGCTCGGGGCGAGTTAAACAGGATGGAGCGAAAGGGACTCGCACAGCCATGATTCGCAGTGGCATCGTCCTGCGGGCGGCAAGGGAAGGGAATGCCCCCTCCCGAGACGGGACTAGTGGGGATGGGGCTCTGGTGGGAAAACGCGGGGTGGGCAGGAGGTCCTCACAGAGTCCCCCCAAGCCTCTTCCTGAAGGTGGGGTCCACGGGGTCCCGGTGCCGAGAGGGGCAACTGCCACCCTTTCGGCTCTCCCCCCCGGTGTCCAGGAAGCCCGTCCTGTGCGGGCCCGGCGCGCGCGGGGCGCCAAATGCAGGTGCTGGGCCAAGCCTCGACTCCAGTCGCGCAGCGCGAGGCAGCGGACGTCGCGACGCACGTCGAAGATGAGTCGTCGGGTCGTTCGGTCTGTCCACAGCGTCGTTCGGGGGTCGGGGTTGGCGGGTCGGCGGGCTCGGAGAGGGGGAGAGGACTGGAGGCGAGGAGAGGCCGCTCTGCACTGTGCGGCCGGCTCTGGCTGCCCCCCAAAACAGGGCGTGACCTCGACATTCAAGGAGGGGGTTGGAAGAAAGGAGAGAAAAGTGACGTAGCTACAAAAGGCATGCACGTCGGACAGGCCCCGATCACTGCCAGCCATCTCGCCCCAATGCTCGCCCCACGAATTGCGCACGATCCCATAGCCGCCGTTCTCCTCGTCCTTGCCCCAGCCGACGACCGATACAACATGGTCGATTGACTCGCTCGGCGTTGTAATCACGCCGTTTTCGTAGTTCAGCAGCGAGTTCGCGTCGATGCCGCAGGCAATAGGACCGCGGGTATAGATCTCCTTCATCATGGCATCTTTGCCGCTGATGGAGCCGTAGTCGGAACTGGTGACGTTCGGGTACGAGCTGAGGCCGGAGCAAGCGCCGCCCTCGTGGTCGAAGCTCCCGCAGGTGCGCGCAATGTTCTCGGGCTTGCACGTCCAGTCGGCGTGCTTGCAGAAGCCTTCCGTGGACTCCGAGGAGCACGCCATGTGGGGCTGGGCAGTCGCATAGCTCAGCCCACTGGCGCTGTCGGAGATCTTCTTCAGCCACTGGTACACTCCGTCGATCGATCCACCGTGGCAGCTGCGCACGCCGCCGCAGTTGAGGATGTGCTGCACAGACGGGTTGACGTCGATTCCCTCGGCGTTGCGGGCGATCTTGACACGGTCTGCGAGCACAGACACCGCCCCATGAGCCCAGCAGGAGCCGCAGTACTGGAGATGTGCTGCTTGAGGGTCATGGTGCAGAAGCTCTTGCCATCGTTGCTGCACCAGCTGGACTCCTCGGGGTACTCGGCATCGGACAGCAGCAGCTCGTGAGGGTCGGAGGCGTTGCCGCGCCACACGATGCCCATGCCCTCCTGCCTACCCCTAGGTCTACCCCCTAGGCCTACCCTTCGGCCTTCCTTCTAGGCCTTCCCTAGGCTTCCCCCTAGGCCTACCTGCACCTCGCGGGCGAGGAGCTCCGTCCTGCGCTGGCGGCCACCGCCGCAGGTGAAGACGCCGGGCGGCAGGCGCTTGGCGTCCGCCCTCTGCAGGCGCTCGGCACCTCCGCGGCCTCGCACCAGGCGCACGCGGAAGCCGCGCTGCAGCTCTTCTCGTCGGTGCACTTCCCGTTGCACGCACCGCCCGCCCGCGCGGAGGCGAGCAGGGCGAAGGCCGCGGCGGCCCTCATCATCATCATCAGAGTAGAGAAGAGAAGAGAAGAGAAGAGAAGAGAAGAGAAGAGAAGAGAAGAGAAGAGAAGAGAAGAGAAGAGTAGGGTAAATAGTATAGGGGCGTGCGCGAGAGTGAGGGCCGGCACGTGTGGCAGCTGTCCCTGCTCGGGCTCGCTGCTACCTGGGCAACCTGGAGGAGACACCCTCAAGACCTGGGAATGTTACAACAAGCACTTCGCTCTAGACATCCTCGCTGGAGACATCCTCAACAAATTCTACAAAACAAGCGTTTCGCCTGAGACAGCCGACTGGCGAAAATGTCGACATCCCCATGTTTTATCGATCGGAATTTCAAAAGCCAGCGTCTCGCTCGGGACATCCTCAAAATCTTAATTCGCTGGCCCTGCGCGACCTTGTTATTTATCGAGAACTCTGGGCCCGAGCCCTTTCTGGGGAAAAAACCAAAGAATCGAAGAGGCATGCAAGAGGCCTCTGACCCACAACCCAGGCAAAGTGGCGGGATGGACCGAAGGCCACTACATGAGTTCATACGATCCCAGCCAGTCCCCTTTCTCGCCCCCTCATCCTTGTCAAAGAATTCGAGAATGCAATCGCACATTCAACGAGTCGGTGTCGCAACAAACCATGCGGGTCACACGCACGCACATGACAAACCCATTGCGTAACCATTGGGGTTCAACGAGCTTATAAGACAGAACTATCAAAGCGTCTTGTTCTGTCCACGCAAGGTAGCCAGACCTCTGTTCGCGCGCACTCGCTGGATCATTAAACCTTTACTTGCTCTGAAATCCTGCAACAAGTGGGACAATGCGGGCCCCACGCGCGCGCATGCCGAAATCAATTCACCTCTGCCACGCGCCCACCAAGTCTGCCAAACAGTGCCATGCGGGTCACGTGCGCACGTCGCCGTGCGCGCGCATGCCACGGCCGTTGCAATACCATCGGCGCCCTCAGCATTCCAAGATGTGCGCTGGCATCCTCCTCCTGGGGTCGTCGTCGTTTCGTCAACTTCGTCGTCGTCGTCGTCGTCGTCGTCGTCGTCGTCGTCGTCGTCGTCGACGTCGTCCTCGTCGACGTCGCCGTCGCCGTCGCCGTCATCGTCGCAGTTCTCCGTCGTCGTCGTCGTCGTCGTCGTCGTCGTCGTCGTCGTCGTCGTCCACTCCGTCGTCATCGCCGGCGACCGCCGCGGGCCTCCACGGCCACGGTGTCGCCGGGGCCGACCTGCCCGATGGGCACCCGCAGCGAGTCGCCGGGGCTGCCCCCCGCCTGGGAGGGTGGAGGCGCGTCCTCCTCCTCCTCTTCTCGCCCTCCCCCCCCCTCCTCTTCTCGCCCTCCCCCCCTTCCTCTTCTCTCCCTCCCCCCCCTCCTCTTCTCGCCCTCCCCCCCCCACCCGCCCACTCCCCCCCCCCCCCCTCCCCCCTCTCCCCTCCCCCCCCCTCCCCCCCCCCTCCCCCCCCGACCTCGCCTCCCCTCCCCTCCTCGCACCTCCTCCCCTCCTCTCCTCATCCTCTCTCCTCCTCCTCCTCCTCCTCTCTCCTCCTCCTCCTCCTCCTCTCTCCTCCTCCCCTCCTCCTCCTCCCCTCTCCTCCTCCTCCTCCTCCTCCTCCTCCTCCTCCCTCCTCCTCCTCCTTTCCTCCCTCCTCCTCCTCCTCCTCCTCCTCCTCCTCTCCTCCTCCTCCTCCTCCTCCTCCCCCTCTCCTCCTCCTCCGCCTCCTCCTCCTCCTCATCTCCTTCCTCTACTCCTCTCTCTCCTCCTCCTCCTCCTTACCTCCTCCTCCTCCCTCCTCCTCCTCTTCCTCCTCTCCTTCTACTCCTCCTCCTCTCTCCCCTCCCTCTCCTCCTCCTCACTTCCTTATCCTCCTCCTCCTCCTCCTCCCTCTCTCTCCTCCTCCTCCTCCTCCTCCTCCTGCTCCTCCCTCCTCCTTCCAACTTTCACATATTCCCCCCCCCCCCTTATTCCCCTTACCTTTTACCAGGCCGCGATCCCTCGCAATTTACTCCGGATTCGCGCTCTCAAGACCACAATCCCTCGTAAATTACGCTGGGTTCGCGCTCACAGGGCCGCGATCCCTCGAGAATTACGCAGGATGCACGCTCCCAGGGTCACGATCCCTTGCAGGTGACACTGGGTGCACGCTCCCAGGGCTACGATCCCTTGTAAATTATACAGGTCTCGCGCTCCCAATCCCAAGACCCTTTGTGAATCATATTGGATTCGCGCTCCCGAGGCCAAGATCCTTTCACTTAAAAGGGATGCGCGCTCCCAGGGCCACGATCCCTCGTAGATTACGCGGGCTTCGCGCTTCCAGTGCCAAGATCCCTCGCGAATTACACTGGATTCGCGTTCCCAGGGCGAAAATCATTTGTAAATCGCGCGGGGTTAACGCTCCCAGGGCCACGATGCGTTATAAATTACGCTTCGTCCGCGTTCCCAGGGCTACGATCCATCACAATTTACTCCGCGGCCGCACTCCCAAGGCCACGATCCCTCGTAAATTACGCTGCGTTTGCAGTCCCAACGCCCTGCCCTGGGGCATCCTTGGGCGCCCAGGCACTTGGAAGACTCTAAAACAAACGTTTCGCTCGAGACATCCTCAACAAACTCTGCAAAACAAGCGTTTCGCTGGAGACATCCGCAACAAACGAAAAATCTAAATTCATTAAATTACCCTGGCGACGTACCCAACCCCTGCGCAAAAGCGGGGCGCAAATAGTTTAGGATACTTTATAAGGGGGCGATGACGGAGCGAGGGTTACATCTGTCTGCAGACGGAATTCGGGAGACTCGCAGGACACTGGCTACAGGAAAAGGGCTTGATAAAGCTGATGAGTTACAATTCCTGAGCACTCCTAGCCACTTCGAAAACGGGGATCACAGCAGGCCTCGAAAGTGGCGACAGTTTCCAAGATCGCAGCCCCGCAGGGATGGCGAGGATCAATATGATTCCGCGCACGTGGCGTCACTGTGCTGGGCCCCCGCAGGGCCTTCGAAAAGTGGGTCGACAGTTACACAGATCGCAGCCCCCCAGGGCTGGGGAGGGTCTCACTTAGAATCTTGCCCGTGGGCGTCACTGCGCTTGGGCCCCCAGAATGCCTCGAATGTGGCGACGTTTCACGATCGCAGGCTGCAGGATGCATGAGGTCTCGTTTGAATATGCCCGTGGCGTAAGTGTGCAGAGCCCCCAGCAGGCCTCGAAAGTGGCGACAGTTTCACAGATCGCAGCCCCCCCAGAGATGGCGAGGTCTAATTTGAATCCGCGCGTGGCCCTCACTGTGCTGGGCCCCCCATCAGGCCTCGAAAATGGCGACAGTTTCACAGATCGCAGCCCCCCAGGGATGGCGAGGTCTCATTTGAATCTGCACGTGGCGTCACTGTGCTGGGCCCCCCAGCAGGCCTCTCCAGTGGCGACAGTTTCACAGATCGCACCCCCCCAGGGATGGCGAGGTCTCATTAGAATCTGCCCGTGGCGCTCACTGTGCTGGGCCCCCCAGCAGGCCTCCAAACTGGCGACAGTTTCACAGATCGCAGCCCCCCAGGGATGGCGAGGTCTCATGTGAATCTGCCCGTGGCGTCACTGTGCTGGGCCCCCCAGCAGGCCTCGAAAATGGCGACAGTTTCACAGATCGCAGCCCCCCCCAGGGATGGCGAGGTCTCATTTGAATCTGCCCGTGGCGCTCACTGTGCTGGGCCCCCAGCAGGCCTCGAAAATGGCAACAGTTTCACAGATCGCAGCCCCCCCAGGGATGGCGAGGTCTAATTTGAATCTGCGCGTCGCCCTCACTGCGCTGGGCCCCCCAGCAGGCCTCGAAAATGGCGACAGTTTCACAGATCGCACCCCCCCAGGGATGGCGAGGTCTCATTTGAATCTGCGCGTCGCCCTCACTGCGCCGGGCCCCCCAGCAGGCCTCGAAAATGGCATCAGTTTCACAGATCGCAGCCCCCCAGGGATGGCGAGGTCTCATTTGAATCTGCGCGTCGCCCTCACTGTGCCGAGCCCCCCAGCAGGCCTCGAAAATGGCAACAGTTTCACAGATCGCAGCCTCCCCAGGGATGGCGAGGTCTAATTTGAATCTGCGCGTCGCCCTCGCTGTGCTGGGCCTCCCAGCAGGCCTCGAAAATGGCGACAGTTTCACAGATCGCAGCCCCCCAGGGATGGCGAGGTCTAATTTGAATCTGCGCGTCGCCCTCACTGTGCTGGGCCCCCCAGCAGGCCTCGAAAATGGCGACAGTTTCACAGATCGCAGCCCCCCAGGGATGGCGAGGTCTCATTTGAATCTGCGCGTCGCCCTCACTGTGCTGAGCCCCCCAGCAGGCCTCTAAAATGGCAACAGTTTCACAGATCGCAGCCCCCCCAGGGATGGCGAGGTCTAATTTGAATCTGCGCGTCGCCCTCACTGCGCTGGGCCTCCCAGCAGGCCTCGAAAATGGCGACAGTTGCACAGATCGCAGCCCCCCGCAGGCAAGACAGGAAGAGGCAGGGAGGGAGGAG